GCGTCGTTTTTTATTTATAAAAAATATTATAAAAACTATATTATAAAAACAGAAGAAGAATCGAGAGAATGTTCTGACACGTTTTGACAGTGTGTTGTCAATTTAAAACAGGTTACCTATCATGTGGAACAAAATCGGAATGGATTCCGATCGGAATTATTCAATTATTCTCTAGATTTCTACTGTGTTTTCTAGGGAAAACGGAATAATTCCGATCGGAATCCATTCCGTTTCGACTTTGTTCCATGATAGGTACCCAGACCTGTAGCCGAGTTGCACATTTCGACCGATTTTGCCTACCGTCGTTGTTCAATATCTTAACGTTCTGACCGTTATGGAGCTTCTTAATTTAAAGCATTATGTTTAACATTAGCGGTCTTTCAATCTTATTATTGATAGATGTTCGATCTTAATATCGTGTTTTTCAACAATACATACAAGAGTTTCAATTTCTAATATACATGATTAATAAATAATTGTATGCAAATTAATCAGATAATCTTAACTTAAATTATATTTTCGTGTACCCGTATAATTATTGAAAAACATACACTACTTCTTTATGTATGTCACAATTAACTTAATTACGATGGAAGAATTATTGCAATATTAAAATATTTAGTCGTCTGTATCTTGCCACCGTTAAAAAAAGAATGTGATGGTTGACAATAACTTAGTGCTGAAGTGTTGGTTGTGTTAGAGAGGATATAAAAGAGATAAGGACCGGTTGTTGACAGTTTTTGATTAGTGATTTAAAAAAAAAGTGGATGCCTGATTTTGAAATATTATATACGTTATAATACCTCTATATCCTTTAGTATTAAAAAAAATATTACTCGTGAATTCATCATATCATAAAAATAAGTTATTTAATTTTAAATGAAGCTGCGAAAATGTGACAATTAACCCCGTGTTCTGGGTTGGGTGTCACACGTTCTAAAATTGGCAGTAGCATTTCGGCGCACAGTCACATCTGAGATAATTAAATTTAAAAATTAAGAATATGTATTATATTCATAACATCTAACTTTGACCGATTATTGGCGTTCTTTATATTTATGTATAGCATTTATACAACACACACACAGTCATACTTATCATTGAAATATAATATATTAAAATACATCGTGTAATATGGTTCAATTAATATAAATTAATAATAAAAACGTTGAGAAAGGCTACCAACCATAAGAAAACAATATATATATAATAGATATAATATAATTAATAAGAGAAAAAAAATTAAAAATAATAATACAAATGGCGTTTTGAGCCCGATCGGGTCATTCTCAATAATAAACATACAAAAGTGATAACGATATACATATTTAAATTATAAACAATAATTTAAAATTAATAGATAAAAAGATGAAAAAAAATTAAGTACAAACTTCTAGTGGATGTATACGCACCGGCAGGAATGGTGTCCCTCGGCGTTCGGCGCGCGACGCTACACAATTATGCACAAAAATTTTTTACAGTATTAAGAATTTTTATGCATAATTACATCATTTTGTGCATAATAAAAATATTATGAATATTGGCGAGCGGGAGACACCGGAGGATCTCACTCGCGCTAGTAACAAATGTGTGAGACAGCGAAAGGACACCGCGAGCCGACATTACGTATAATTACGCTTTCTCTCTCAATCGTGCGTCTTACGCTAAGGACGGAATGTACAATGGTCACTTGATCGCATCTTGTCGTTATCAAGATGATATAAAATCCAAAAACAATGATATAGCTCGTGTCATGAGATGTTAATATGAAAGGCTTCTTATTTAACAAAGTCATTGTGCCTAAGAATATTCGAAGTATCGCAATTATAATAATATCAAGTCAAAGTCTATAAAAACGGTGAGATAATGAATATATTGATATAAAAATATGAAGATCTGAGAGCAATTAATGTCTGTTTATGAAATCATATATGGATAATTTGATCGTATGATAGATAAAGTTGAATTAAACTACCTTTAAATTTATAAAGTATGTTATAGTGTCCAATAATCCTTATATAGTATCTGTCCGAATATAAAAACTTTTCATGTCGCTCGAAATATAAAATGTTCTTATTAATTTTATTATATCTATTATTTATATATTGTTTTCTTATGGTTCGTAGCCCTTCTCTTGCTTTTATTATAATATATTAATTGGTAAGTATACCCTCTAAAAATGTGTTCTCTAAAGATTTTGAAATTAATTGTCACCTCATCTCATTTTAGTCAATCTATCCCACTTAGCCATGTTTAATAAAAAAGATTGTATTCACAAACTTTGTCAGGATAATGATTAATTAATTGTAGCAAAGATCTTCTAAGATATGTCATTTTCTATGAATACAGGGATATCGCGATTAATAATGTCAAAGACTTGTCAGATAACAAAATAGGTGATAAGAAAAATTTACTCACCAACTTCATTTTCTTAAAAATCTTTATAAATAATATATACAATGTTTGTGGTACAAACCATTTCACACAACAAATTAATATTATATCAGCTATTTACAGTCAAAAAAAGAGATTTTTCTGCCATGTCCTCTTTGAGTTATAAGCATTTTGACAATCAACCCTATACGACAACCAGCCCCGGTCTCCCCTACTTTTAATAATAGGAAGATAATTATTGGATGAGCGATCCGTGTCACTCAGTTTATTTAATCCTTTTTGTTGTCTTTTCATGTATATCATCTTTGAGATTATTCTTTTTCAATACAAGCAACAATTAAAAATTAAATTTATCATTCATACAAGATAAGCAATAGCACACTGTAATATTTAATAGAATACGCATAGAATAGAATATTTGATACGCAGTATCAAAAATAATTTGTATTCTTCAATATTTGTAATTTTTTAAGTACGAGGTCGTTTGAAAAGTTCTGAGACCTAACATAGAAACAAGTAGTTTTTCGGTCAAATTCAGTTTTATTTTTCTATTTGTAATATAAATATATTTTAAATATATATATTCTACCTCTTCATGCACACAAACTGCACATAATAATTTGTCCTTACTTATAGTATAACTGATAACCTCAAAGAATTAATTATTTTAGTAATTATCCATAAAGCAATTACCGGTTGAACAATTATTGTTATAGAAATAGCTAATTGTAAAATATCGTTCGTAAGTAGAATTGTTTTAAAATGAAAAGGCTCAAATATTAATGCTTTTGACAAACATATTTATGTAGCATATTCGTTTTATTTATATTAAGAAAATATTTGAATATAAAAAAATAAATTTATATGAAATTATTTTATAATTACATATATGTGACGATATCACATAATCGTAAGAAGCAGTTACGTTAATAGAATTTTTTATAATTGTATGTATATAAAAAATTACTATATGTATATAAAAAATAATATATGTATAATAACTATATGTATATAAAGAAAGATACATGAAAAAATATGTTAAATACTATTAATTGATAGTAGGTATATCATCTAATACATAAATTATCTAATACATTCTATAATAATCTGATAATAATAACTTGGATGTTATATAGCTATGTTAGTACAGCTATATAACTAAAATCTACATTATTAATAGATTTGATAATTATTATAAAATAATTTAAAATTTATTTTTTTAAGAACTGCATAATTAATGTTAAAAAAAGTTAAAAAAAACTTCTTACTTCTTTGATAACGCTTTTTGTTTATTTAAAAAAAAATAAAAAAAGGTTATACATATATTCTCTGTTTATTAAATGTCTTAAATGAATTAAGGATTTGACGAGCCTCAATAAGGGCCGGCATTTAAATATTAAACATAACTATAATATAACTATACGTAATACCTACATAGTTGTGATCAAGTTATATTTCTTTAAAATTTTATAGACATAACAAAACAGAACATTGATATATGTTTATAAATTTAAAAATTATCATTAAATTATAAATTTATTTTTTACTATTTTTTAAAATTAATAACTATTTTTTATATAAACCTTGTATACACTTAAGGATGTTTGCTATACATTTGACATTTTTCATAAGTATTTTTTTTTATTATCTTTCTTTATAATATGTATTTTTTGTTTTCTGAATCGCTAATTGAGTCTCTTCCATTAATTAAAGAATCCGATATCTTCAAATCCGAAAAGATAATGGGTTAATTCAAACTTCTGCATTACTTACTGTGCGTGCTATATTGATATCTTCAGTGACATGCGATGCTTGCAACGCTGTATGACAAACTAATGCATTAGCGCGTTTTACAAATAATTAACTGAAACATATAAACAGCATTTGCATAATAAAAAATGTCAATTACATTATGTTTCTTGTAAAAATAACTTAAAGTAAATTTATGTAGAAGAATTATAAGCTTTTAATTGCTCTCTTCAATCGCGTAAGTGTATAGGTGGAATCACATGATGCTCGTGATTTCTTAAATGATAACATGCGTACAGTCATACCTGCTCTGATGTATACATTGTATACTAGAATTTGTTCATGTGTGCATTGAGCGCTGCCTGTTATATATGCATGATTTTTATATTTATTATGGATTATTCCTAGCTTATTTTCTTACATACACCAATCAGAAAAAACAATTGCTAATTTAATAGTTGTTTGTCAAACTGTATACACATTAAAGCTAGCATAGCAGCATACATGTGTGCATGCACGTGTACATGCTTATCATTCAAGAAATCGAGTATCATGTTATTCCGTCTTTATGGAATATCTTTCATATTTATGAGATAAAAAGTCATAGCTATGACCGTAAAGACTTACAATATAATCGGCAAAAAGTATTACGATGCTGAAGATTTTTTTCCTAACTATTTTTATCATAATTATTAATGTCAAGGTTTTTTGCTTTTCACTATTAAAGATTCATTTGTTATCCACATTTGCAGTCAAATGATGAAATAACCCGGTAAAAAATTTTTTATGTATTAATACATATATGTGAATATATGTAAACATACATAAACATATATAAATATTCATAAACATACATAATTATACATAAAATATGCCTATAACATATCTAATATAACCTTCTTTTTTTTGTATTATTACAAATTTTTATGACTGTTTATATATGTTTATATATGTTACAGTCAAAGTCCGCAAGTGGATAATACTGACATTGTACAACAGGCAACTCGGGTAATGTTAACACTGCCCACTATGCCGACTTTGCCCGTAACCCATAACATTTATATATGTATATTCATATATGAAAAATTTTTTATCGGAAAGGCCATAATAAACTTCAACAAGAGGTGGCATTTTTCGATAGCTATTACATCCTTGTTATCAAAATTATATATATTAATATTCTCGCCCTGATGAAGTGAACTGCAAGGTTCACGAAACGTTGGCATTCCAAGAATGGATCTAAACACGGAGAAAACCCGCGAAACGCAAGATTGTCACAATTATATATATTTTTAATGTAAAAGATAAAATAAGAATTTTATAATAATATTAAGTGAAATACCACACCGAGAAGTGTTTAAACGTGTATAAGAGAGAACACAGCGTTATATTTAACTTATTTATCAGAACGCACGAATTTGACTAAGGCTGTGTTCGCTTTGGCGCTCACAATGCTTTAAACGTCGTTTTATCCTTATTGTTTATTAAATATTAAACAAGGACAATTGATGCGTACAAGCGCCGTGAGCGCCAAAACGAACGCAGCTTTAGTCAAATTGTAATGCATCGTTATATATGTAATTCACATTCTTTACATATCGAAATAAAGATTAAAAATAACAAAAAATACAATAATTTCATTTACATAAAAAATAACTTCACTGGTCCAAACGGGTCACTGGTATCATACGCTCAATTTTTAGTAACTGTACGAAACACGAGTGACAAACTACAGCGTACTTGGCTGATAAGTCCTTGTTAGATCAATGGCAAGAGAGCCGATCTCTTCCGTTTATCGACTAACTCAGTGCTCGCAAGGGTTTGCACATTTTAGACCGATTCCGGCGAGCGACCCCCACCACTGAAATGTGAAAATCTTTGCGAGCACTGGTCTAATTGGTTTAACGAATAATTTAAAATTGAATATTCACCTGGGTCTTTGAATCTCCGTTTGGACCACGGAAGATCAAAGAAATATTACAATATAAAAAAAAACTTAAATTTATATTATTATATTAACAACCTGTGAATTATTGTAATCGCGTCCATTTGTTAACTGATTCAAAAAAACTATCATAAAAATGAGATAAATCTCTGTCACTTTTATTATTTAATTTTATTAGTTGGATATGGCACAGTTTCCCACAAAGAATGACTTCCATCACCCTTTTTCATCACGATGGTCTTTACAAGCTCCTTTGACGGTTCTTTGAGATCGTACGCCCACCCGATTTTCGCAAAGAAGTTAATAAAAATTGTGGTTGGAGAACCGTATAACTCGGCAGCCTTATAGTCCCACGGAAAGACATGATGATAATTATGCCGTCCTTCACCGCCCGTAAACAAGTTAACCCATCGATTCTCTGTCGGATTTATATGCCTGCCGTTGAAATAAATGAAACAAAATTATTCTTAGACGATACAAAATGGCAAAAGATGGCAAAAGATGGTAAAAGATGGAAATGGTAAAAAATGGCTTTATGTCTTCTGATCAAGTTTATTATGTGTGAATAATATGGATACTAATTATCTGCTTACGCATCATATGGCTTTGAACCCCAAATATGAGCCGCACTGTTGACACTCCATATGGCATTTAAAAGGAGAATATAACGAATAATATTCTGCGACACGAAAGCTCTATACCAAGTCTCATTCCATGCGTATACAGGCAACATCACCGGAAGCAGGAAAGCGAACATAAATTTTAATATCGGAAAATATCTGCAAAATAGCATAAATTAACTACAATATGTAATTTTCATGACAGTTTTATATCTTACGTAAAAAAATCTGCGTAAAAAAATTTCTAAAATTGAGAAGGCTTGCAAAAATATATCTTGATAATGAATACATACTTTCGAGTTGAATCAAACTTCTACAGAACAACATTTATGAAATTATATGATGAAATTTTGCATAAAATTTGTTATCTGCAATTATACGGATATATTTATAAAAATTTTTGAAGTCGACTTTAAGTTTTTTTAATCAACTGTTTTTATAATAGGACGGTTTTTGTCAACTTCTGACTGTAAGTTGGTTTAAAGTCGTTTATTTTCGACGAATTAAAAGTTGTCTTTCATGTTCGACTTTCATATAGTTGACTTACAATAATTGTCAACTTTCTTTTTATTATTATATGTACGAGGATCGTTTGAAAAGTTTTGAGCCTAACATAGAAATAAATATTTTTTCGGTCAAATTCAGTTTTATTTGAATTTGATTAAATAGAAGGAGAATTTTTATTTTTATTTTTTTTGTTCATATTTACGTAAAAATAATCGTACCATAATTTAAAAAAATAGATTCTTTAAATCTGAAACTTTATTCTATTCGAATGGTATCATTATCAAATTTGTTTCAAAAACCTCAATTAAGCTTATGTGTTTTAAATAGTTTAATGCCAAAATTCTAAGCAGAATCGTAACATATTCCTGTAAGACTTGTAAGAATTTTTAAGTGTTTATACCTTTATACAATATTTCTTCTTACTAGCCATAAAATTTACAAGAAATCGTAGATATTTACGAATAAATCGTACGTCTTACAATATATACGCATAAAATTAGAATACTAGTCATAAGTTCTTACAAGTTTTACGAAAACACATTACGAATCTTACGATTCTGCTTAGAATTGACCTATATGGCATGTTCAAAACATATTTTTTACCAATCCTGTTTATAAGTAAACCTCAAGGATCGACGTCTCAGGGTCAGACATCGATTTTTCTCGAATTTTTACAGTCGTTTCTTAGGTAAATATAAAGAAATCTGTTATTCATTTTTTACTTTGCTTATTACATTGAGTCAATTAAAAAGAGATTTTTAATTGAAAGACTACTTTACACAAATATACCCGATTTAGTTGATTTTACATATTAAAAGCAGTATTTCTTAAGAATGAATTTATATCTAAATATACGATTTTAAAAGATTTAACTTAAGTTAAAATTACTTACAGATTTCTTTTAAATTTGTTTTCATAACAAGATAAGACGAGACGAGAAAAATAAATAACATATGTGTGATAATCTCTGAAATGTTATAAAGAAGACGAAAAGTTTTGAGACGGTATTCTCGTATCGAAATGCATTACTATCTTATATTAATCAAATATGTCACAACAAGTCACAGCTAATTGCAGCTAACATGCGTTAAATGTTAATGTTTATGGATCACATTGAAGAAACAGTTTCTATACAATTGCAGAGATCAAGAAGCGTTAAATGTGATACAGTTTAGTTTAAATTCGCTTCAAAGTACTATGAAATTAATTCCCGAATTTATAAGGAAACGTTTTTTTTATTATAATTTTTTGCCGTACGTATTTTGCCAGCAAACACCAAGTAATTTTCCACTCAATAATATGGCTATATAATATAACACACTCAAATACATACAACTATAATATAACACATGTGTTATGTATGTACTATTAGTTACATATTGTGGAGTGGGAAATTACAATCAACATGTATGTACGTTACATGTAATTTGTTGTTTACTGGGCTAGAATATAATGCAATTAATGATACTTATTTTATATTTTAGCATATAATTATATATATATATATATATATGAATGTAAAAAGTATTCGTACAGAGAAAATATTTTTTAAAAAAACTTTATTTTTAAAAAGTAAATATTATCTAGCGAGAAATGAGTCATCGAATTGATGTCGATTCGATACGATGATTTCAACACTAATTTGACGTCGATTCGGCGTTTTATTGACGATCATTTCTTGCTGAGTAATTAACAATTTATTCATAAAGAATAAAATAGACTGTATGTTTCTTAAAATTATATATACTAAAAAGGTATGTATTAATTATAGAAAACATATCATCTGAAAAATAAAAATTATAAATAAATTAAAAATTCGGATGCTCAAAAAGTATTCGTACAATCGAGAAATTTAGCTTCTAAAACAGGAATACATGCGAAGCTCGTTTATTTATGTTAGAACAGAATGTATTCATTATATAAAATTGCTAATTAATGTTTATTTTCTATAAATAAAACTTTTTTTATAAAAAATTTCCTTGTACGAATACTTTTTGCACTGATTGAGAAGAAACAGATGTGTAAATTCAAGGCATAAAACAGATTTCAAACTGTCGCACACATTGGTTTAACGTAAACATAAAGGTCTTTTACAGCGATATGACATTTCGACAAATGCTCGCTCGTTAAGCAACCAATCAAATACGCAATAGCTCTGTATCGTCAATGCAAATAATACGAGCGGTTTTAATCAAAGTATCGCGGAAAAATATTTTTTTGTAACAGGCAAGTTGCAAAATTTTCTTTTATGACACATACTTATTTTATTATACAATTATAAATTTTTCTTTATGTTACATATATATTTCTATAATGTTAATTTTATATGTATTTATTGAACAGGCTCTTTTTGAGAAGATACATTTTATTTATACGATATAAACATTCTACTTTTGCATTATTCCGTATGATGCATTATTTTCTGGTAATATTAAATCCGATATAATTTATAAGTTGTGAGTGATATCAAATAATGTAAATTTGTTTATATAAAAATTTTTTTCAGGACATGCTTTTCACAATTATCTACTTATAGTCGCGATAAAGTTGACTTTGTATTGACTGCATTGATTAACTGACAACCAATTGTAGTCAAGACATTTGTCGACAATCAGTCTAACTTTAACAAAGTCGACTTTAAACTTTTTCTGCCGACTGAAAGTCGTCTATCAATTGACTTGGTGCTGTATAGGTAACCTTGCGATATATAGGACACTGCAGCAGAGCAAGAAATGTACGTAATACATATAACACTTAATGTATGTAATGTTTTACTTAATGTACATATGTTTTACTTTGGAATTAACAATTTGTTTTATCGACATCGATCAAATCTGACCGTCGCTTCAATATCTCTTTATTTGGACATTATAGTATTTGGACAAAACAATAACGATATAGCGAATCTTCATAGTGACATATTAGGATCAAGTTAAATTTGAAAAGAAATTGTCCATGAAAATATTTTAGCTGTATTTTAACAATACAGTTATAATAGTGTCCATAAAAATGCACAATTACTCCTAAACTATAATATAGAAATATTGTAACATGAAGTATTATACATATATTTAATATGGTTAAATTAAAAATTTTAAAGTCAAACAGCTTCTGAGATGCATATAAACTGAAATATTCGTTGAGCACTTGAAAATAATCAGATAACGCGTTCTTCAGCCGAAGATTTGTTTCCTTAATTATATGGAAACATATATGATGTACCCCATTATCTCATCAATACCTACATATAGTTAGTAACCTGTCTCATCACGAATAACACGACGTTATATGTTTTCTCAACCTTAAACTTAATTTCTTATACGCCTAATTTCCGTCATATAATTTGTAATCCAACGTAATTTTAACTAGCATCATTAGATTCCTTGCTTCAACAATTATAAAAAATGATGTTGATTTTACTTTTCACGGACATAGAAAAAATAGGCCTTTTCATAATATCCTTCTTTCCCGTTTTTTTTTGTCTTTTTTCTAATATGAAACTATTTTGCATAATTAACTCTTTGCACAAACTTACTTGATGTTGAATGCAACAATAGGATCAGCCAATACATCGCTCATATCCACCTGACGACCTCTTCGAATCACATCTGGATGTTTTTTCATCATCAGCCAACCGACGTGAGAGAAAAAGAACCCTCGATTACTGTTGTGCGGATCTGCATCCGTATCCGTATACTTGTGGTGCACCCTATGATCTCGTACCCATTCATGAATGTCGTTCTGAAAGAATTTAATTGTAACAAAAAAATTTTTTTATCTTGCATAAAACGAATAAAACAATAATTATAAACGTCTACCATGCCAGCCGAAGCATAAAGAACACCAAGTATAACTCTAAGCTGCCATTTTGCTTTATAAGCTTGGTGAGTCCACAAACGATGAGGACCGGCAGTGGCACCTACTCCTCCTAACATATACGTGACGATTACTTGAAACAAAAAACATGGGCATAATTAAATAACATTAGAAACGCTATTATGCGTAACAACTTAATCCGTATTTCTTATGGAAGTGTCATATAAGTAGCACCGATTTTATTGCGACATTTGACAATTTATGATAACTTATAACACAATAGATATTTAAAGACATAATATAATTGGCTATAACTTTAAAATTAAGTCAAAATATAAAAAGAAGCATAAAAGTCAACGCTAATTCTTGCAAATCTAAACGTTATAATATTCATTTCTTATTCATTCAACAATATAATATAAAGTATAAACGGTTCGACCTTTATTAGGTCATCCTCATTAGTTGCTTTGCATTTGCACACAAGTGAAACTGAGCCTGAAGTGAGCTGAGTATTTCATACTCAGATTAATGACATCATTATTTGTTTACTTTGGTAAAAAGTTATCACATGACAACACAGGTTCATATTGTTCATAATCTCACTTTTAAAGTGAGTTTACGAGACTCATTAAAGCACACAATCTCGATCTTGTGTAGACTGTAGGCAAAAACTCAATTAAATCTCATTTATCAGAATGCAAATTAAGGAACGCGCATTCAATTGAGTTATGACGTCACAAGTGAGAATTTTCTGAAAATCGGTGTAATTGAAAAGCAACTTATATTCGAAACTGAGTTAGCGCGTTAATTTTTAAATATCAAAGATGACCTAATAAAGATCAAAACGTTTACGTTTTATATTACATTGTTGAATTAGTAATAAACAAATGTTATAACATTTAGATTTGTGACAAGAACTAGCGTTAGCTTTTATGCTGCTTCTTTTTATATGATTTTTTATTAAACAATTGATGTTATACGATAAAATAAGAAGTCTTAAACAGCATCTTTTTATCTGCTGTTAAGCTTCTATTGCTTGCTCTCTTCAATCGCGTAATTAGCTTTCAATTAGCTATCGTTCGTGTTAGAAATCGTTAAAAACAACTGTAGCAGTTTTTATAAACACGCATTACAATTTTAATGATTAATTCGTTAGTGGTCTAAATTATACTTTTTTATTATGTAGTTTTTTTAAGATATCAAGGAATTAAATTAATGAAAGAATTTTCCAAAGAATACTTACTCCAAGCAGTCGTCATCAGATTTTCAAAAAAGTTAAAAGTAAAACAGGCATATACGAAGTATAAGTAGAGAAAACTAAGATATAAAATATTAAACCACTTCAGCTCTGTCTTGAACCAGCCTTCAGTTTTTGTATAGTTTTCGCTTCTGTTTTGTGTATCATTTTCATCATCTATCGTTTTTGTAGTAATTGAAGATTCCTTATTTTGTAAATCTTTCTCCATAAGTATTTTTGAATCTGTGCCTAAAATATTTGGCGTCATCTTTGTTTTCGGATTACTTTACTGAAAATCCAAAAAATATACTTCACACTATAAAAAAATAACAGACTGTGTCATTTTTGTTCTTCAAACGAACAATTGAAAGTTAAATTTGGTGACACAATTTAAAACAGACATCAAGGTCTAGATAATATGTACTCATTAATTATTAATAAAATTTAATTACCTTTCTAATAATTCTAAATGTTTCTTTTGACCGTGTCACTTAAGAATCATTTATACTAGCCGTAATCTGTAAACATTGACCAATCATAGTCGATTATTCCCCTCTCATTCGATTGTGATTAGTCAGTGCTTACAGATTACAGCATAAGTTAATATATTATAGATTACGATTAGTATAAATGATCCATTATTTATTAGCATGGCGAAATTAGACAAGGTGTTATATTCCCGAAGATGCGCAGTAGCAAAATAATGGCGTCTATGTATTTTGTCCCTAAATTTTGCAACTGACATGAATAGAAAAATCTTAGATCTGTTCGCGTTACTTGCATTCTTTGCACTCAACATCTTTGCTTTCTCTGTTTTCAACGTCCGATTATGTATTTAACTCATTTTAAATGCAAAAATTTGTGAGAATTTCAAGTAACGTGAACAGACCTCTTAGAAAAATAAAAGTTACGCTAGCATTTAAGAACGATTTTTGATCGTGCCACATATCATGCGCAAAACAACACCTTGTCTAATTCCGCAATGTTCGCGCGTTAGTACATTTTATTGTCAACGCATTATTTTGTTCAAACTCGAGTAGGAAGAACCTATCTTTTGTAATGTACAATTTTATAATCGTGACTCGTTTTCGTTTACGTATTTCCACATTTTTATATATATACAGTAATTTTCTGACTTTCTATGCAGGATCCGTTTTTTTAATTTTGTTATTGTATAAACTACTGCTCTACTTATGAGGTGAGTTATATATTTTTTTTATTTATTTCTGACCAACCGTTGCAAAAACATTGTCTTTGTTAACATTTGATTTTAATGTAGGATGAGCGTGTTTCCATCTAGTCTTCCAACTGGTTGGTCAACATAATTTTTATCCACTGACCTCTCACCTTGTCTAAGATTGCCTTAGATATATTAAAATAGTGCAATCCTTTTATCTGAGCAAAAATGCCAACAACTTTCCTGTTGGCTATTTCGACCGCCATTTTCGACCTAGTGGCTGTAGTGCAATAAGCTTAGTATTATTAGTATATAATATAGTTATTAGGTCGAAAATGGAGAACTTTTGCGCTACTTTGATATATCTAAAGCTTTATGTTTAACACGACATGCAATTTTCGACTTCTTAATCTTTGCGTTTTTTGAAGAGGACTCAAATATTAAAGCCGAAATATACGAGCAGAATATTGTAAGACCTTAATGTCTAACTAATTGATTAAATTTAATTTTTGGAAAACTATTGAATCTATGCACTAATTACCGCTCTATAAGACTCGCAACCCCGTCGTCTCTCTCTCTCTCTCTCTCTCTCTCTCTCTCTCTCTCTCTCTCTCCATATTTTTATTGATATATATACAAATTAATATATAATTTCTTATTGTAGTTCATCACTTATTGACTTTCGTATAATTCAATTATGGGTTACCGACGAGTTGATAAATTGATTTATTCGTTTTATCTAATTATTTATAATTTAATTTAATTTTGTAATTTTAATTTTAATTTCAATTTATATACTAATAACGAATACATATATACAAATGCGTTGTCTCGTTCTTGATTTTTCGTCGATGAGTAATATAATTTTACCAATGCCACCAAATACCCATTAATTATATTTTTCACACTCATTAGTTGTATTTCACACACAGATAATATATCAATTAGCCTATTAACTGGTATAGAGGCTTGCCTTAATCATGAAAGATTAAATAAATTACTTACCGATAGATACCGGAAACGAGAAATAATGCAGAATTAGTATTCTTAATCACTGAAAATGATTTGAATGAAGCATTTGACTTTTTGTTTGGAGTATGTAGTATGAAGTAAATACACTCTTTTTACTGGAAATCTTATTGCGTACTAATTACCGCGTCGTTACTCTCAGTTGCTTTATATATTTGTTCTGTTTATTCGTTTAAATATCGAGGGGCCGTTTATCAAATGTGGTTTTTAAAAGGTTATCGTCTAGAATGATAGAATGCAGCGAATTGAACGAATGCACTAACGTGTTAATAATATAATACTCAATGATTAAAAATACCAATTCTGTATTATTTCTCGTTTCCGGTATCCATCAGTAAGTAATCTATTTAATTTTCCATGATTAAGACAAACCTCCTTACCAGTTAATAAGCTAAGTGATATGTTATATGTGTGTAAAAAATATAAAGTATTAATTCGGCATTCGTAAAATTATATAATAATATTATATACATTACTGCATTCATTTATTTTATTGCGCTGTGTATCATTCTAGATAACCTTAGAATCTAGACGATAACCTTCAATATTAATGCAAAAGTTCGAAATTAGAAATTATTTAATTCATAATCTCAGATAGCCAGACGTGCCAAAAGCACGCACTGCAAATTTATGCTACATATTATATTGCTACATTATATGCTACATATTATATATACATAATATATATTTCTGATGACTCAGATTGGAAAATTAATATTAAAAAAATTGCAGAATTCATTATAATAAATCCAATATAGCTGCCATAAATATAATAAAACTATAACTATGAATAAATCATTATGAATCGATCTGCATAATGAATCTCTTCCCATTTTATTCGCCATTTTAAATTTCTTAATCATTGTAAATAATTCACAATTATTATACAACGACCTTAAAAATACATATTGACATGAAAATCTCATTCAAATCGATTCATAACGGATTTATTCGTATCTAATTTTTTATTGTTCACAGCGGCCGTATTGGACTATTTACTCGTATAATGAATTTCGCAATTTTAATATTAGTTCCCTAATCCGCAATATCAGAAACATATATAGAAGAGCCAGCACTTATAACATACATATTTTGCTGTAATTTTGCTGTCAGTATTTGATATAATAAGTCATGCTGCAGCCTTGCCGCGATTTCACTGTCACAATGTGACATCAGATTATATTTGATTTCTGCTGTCTTTCTGCTAACTGTTAGTATTGATGTAGCAAACTTTGCCCGATATTTGCTACGTATTTGCTATCACGGTATCTGTAGCAAAGAATCTGTAGCTCGATTTTTATTGCATTTCTATCGTCGTTCCACGCAGATTATGCTGTTAGAAATTAAGCTTAATAGAGAAAGCAGCAGCTTGATATCTGCTGTAATGTCATGATCAAGTTTGCTAGCGTACTGCTAACATACTGGTAGCATTTTGCTATCTGGGACTTTGATTTTTAGTTACTTTGACTATTAGAGGAAAAGGTGGTATTATAGTATCCCATTTACTTTTTGTGCAATAACTTGGTTAATAATCAATATTTGAATTTAAAACTTAACAAATACATTTGTCAAAATATTATTTAATCGGTTCTAGACTCAAAGTTACGAAACATTTATAGATTGAACACATAAACATTGATAGATATTAAATACATGTTATGTCAATTAGAAACAAATAATAGCGTGACATTTGTAATTTCTCACAGTAAATTGATAAACATTAAACGACGATGGCAAACTTACTTTACGTTTAATTGCTGCACCAGACAGTACAGATATGAAAGAAAAACAGACCATGTCAGTGCACAGTGCACCGAAAAGGTTTCGCGAGTACTGTACAGCGGAGTGAGGGTCAACAAAATCAATTGCACACTTTAGACTTCACAAAATGTAATTAAATCAGTAAATGAGCATACGAATTATTTGTACAATACACAAAAAAAGGTTGTATATAGAATTAATAACACTATTTGATGAAAAAGGAACATCAGAGCGAGACTATTATATAGTCATTTTTCAGTTTTTTGGACACTAAATACGAATCCGATTTCCAAATTGTTACATCACGTTTTCACTTTAAGAAATTTATATTACATTAGTTGTACAAAAATGTCTATTGTACAAAAATGTATTTTGTCACATTCAAACCTATTTTATATAAATACATTTCTTGGATTGGAATATCCATAATAAAAAATTCGACATTATTTATTTTATCGCAAAATACTTTTTCGTATAAATAATTACATAAAAACGAATATATAAGTTATACTAAAAATATAAGATTTTGCTCAATGTTCTGTGATTAGTAAAATAATTAAAAAAAAATTAATTTAATTATACATATTAAAAATTAAATAAAAACTATAAAGTAAATTTTCTGTTGAATTTTTCTGTTGAACAAGATAAGTTTAAAATAGAATCAGTTTTGAGAATAGAAAATTAACTTATTCTATACAATTTATTCTACGTAACTTATTCTATATATAATATTTTATTCTACGTAATAATTGGATTATGAGTTGACTCGCTACATCGAAGAACACGGTTCTTTATCACATCAGCAGATACGGTCTTTAAGTCGTAAGCCAAACCGATGTAAGCGAAAAAGTCAATGAAAGTTTTGGTCAAATTGAATTTATAATTTCCAAGTTCCGCCGTTTTATAGTCCCAAGGAAAGGCATGATGATAGTTATGCCAGCCTTCACCACACGCTAACAAAGCAACTCCAATATTGTCAGTAGAGCTGACTAATCTGCATAATAAAGTAAATGTTTGTAAGTATCAACACAATATCACATGTACTGTAATATACTATTGTATATATAAACAATTTTACTAATTTTATATTAAAGCGTACATGTATGTTTGATAATCAGAAATAAGTATACGTACTTGTCGTATGGTTTCGCACCCCATATGTGTGCCACGGAATTCACCGACCAAGTGATATTTAGATTTACGCAATATCTACAGACTGCAAAATGCCATGAATACCACAAACTCTCATTCCATGCCCACCAAGGCACTAACGTTGGTACGATAAAAGCGCAGAACGGCATTAAATACATATACCACCTATGGAAAAAAATGTGAATACAAAATAATTAATTTATATGTCTAATTACGTCTTGTTCTAAGAGAAACAAACTGTGCTTGTCGTACTTTTTTTGAAATGCCACAAGTGGATCTTGCATGAGGTCACTGCAATCAATCGTGGTACCTTTAGTAATGAGATCAGGATGCTTACGAACTAGAAGCCAACCGATATGCGAGAAGAAGAATCCTCTGCGCGAGTTATACGGATCCGCGTCAGTATCAGTGAACTTATGGTGCATGCGATGGTCCCTGACCCATTGATAAATATCATCCTGATAAAATGTAATACGTTGATAATAGATATTATCAAGTACAAAATTTTATTTAAAAAAACAAAATATATAGGATTTTCATCTTTAGTCTATTTAACTTTTACCATACAATTAAGGTCGGGTCACTAGTAACCGAGCGATTCCTATTTGTGCAAGTTTCTTTGAGTCTTTCGATAATTTTAAATTATACTAATACATTTTATTATTTTCCAAAATAAAGTTTTAATATTTATTCTAGAAAATTGAAAGTATGTTGGTGAATATTTAGAGATTTTTTGGACCATTCTGAAGCATGTTCGGATTCTCATCTAGGTACTCCCAGGGTGTCATCCTTGTTGTTTAACAAACGTTAAACAAGGATGACATGACACCCGAGGAGCACCCAGATGGGAATCGGAACACGCCTCTGAATAGGTGAAAAAAACGAATGGATTCTAGTGACCCATGTTTGGATGGATGAGGCACCAAATTGTATCTTGTATTGTAAAGATTAAATGTGTCATTTTATGCAACACTTTGGCGAGAGGAGAAAATTGACACTAAACGTACTTGAAAAGCAATGGTCTGGAAAATTATGAGAATAAATCTCATGGGCCACTTTGCCTTGTAAGATCGATGGGACCATAATCTATGAGAGCCAGCGGTGACGCCTATATTTGCAGCGATACCAAGAGCAACAACTATAAATTATAGATATATTATGGTTTGATATATAAATCCTACGAAGCTTACATAATCTAACAAAGAAACAATAAATATGATACATACACCATAGAACTGACCAATATTTAGCATGCAAGCAAGCCATGTATATTCCGTAAATGGCAGCAAGATGAATATAAGAAAAAATAAAAACGTTTTTCCAAACGATTTTCCATTTATAATCAGTTTTGTATGATTTTTTCGGCAATGCTTTATCATTTATTGACTTTCCGGCTTTTGTTGCAGAAATTTTAGATAAGTCCGATAACATGCTATATATTAAATATACGTTATGAATATCTTCGTAAAGCATAACTTTAATCATTAACTACGTAACAGTATTATTCTGCAGTATTCTGCACTTATATCAGAAAAGATAGTGTAATAAAGAAGATAAAATAATTATTGAAGAGGATATAAATATATATCCTCAAGAGATTGCAATTCGTTTCTATCTAAATTAAAGGATATCTTGATTAATACCTATTTTATTTATTAATAACATAAATATCGTTATTTTACAGTATGATTAACAAATTGCAGCAACAATACATCATTACATTTGTGCAGCTGATTAATTAAAATATAAATTACGAAATAATAATTGCTAAGTAATATATATCAAGCAAAAATAAAATTACATACCTTTTGATAAGAATTATATTACAATTTGATATCTCTGTGTGATCAAGGATTTCTTGATTGTTTTATTCACATCCGGAAAATATCTCTAAATTTTTCTGAAGCAAAAATAGTCAAATATGATAATTAACAAATTTTATGATAATATAGATATCATATAATTATCCCCCATAGCAAAAAATGTCACAGTTACATCACAACAATCATGAATAAATATTATTAATATAAACGTAACTGTTACACTTATATTAAGGGGATGCTCGAGTGACCAAATTGTCAGGACATATATTGCAGAACAAATCTCCGAATTTACTAAACAGAATAAAAAATCCTTTTACAAGATTAAAGTAGACGCAAAATTAGAAGATGCTGTAGTGGACTTCATACGAAAATCGGTAAAAAAGTTAAAAACTCACATTTTTTCAACTCGTAGAGCTGTTATCTCACATAGATGTTTCCTAATAAAAAAAAGTTTGATAATTATACACATTAACGGACACCGTGCCGATGGCCTTGACTTTGATGTATATTGTCAATTGCACTTGTCATTTTGTCTATGCAGTTGTCATTTTGAAAGTCTGTACATTCATGGAATAATACTTATTTATTCAGGAAAGCTTGAGAAACCTTCCATAAATAATAAAATAGGTCGTTTAAACGCTCTACAAAGAAACTCATTGTTTCTAATAAACGATGATAGATTTCAAAATTAATGGTGTGTTTACATTTAACACACAAGTTGGATTATGAAATGCTATAAGAATACACTACCAGGAAGATCTACAAATATACAAGGTGTCTCATTTTAAATAATGCATTAAGATTCCTCGAAAACTATGGTAGATACGGAAAAATGTTTCAAACAAAAGTTGTTTGGTTCGGAGGGAAACATAAGAAGGTACCATTGATTTGACCTTGGGTGGCATCGCCAAGGCCAGGTTAAGGTCACGTCGATTTTTTTTAATGGAACACCCTATTTTTTATTACATTTTCTTGTAGCTTATCTCGAGAGCTTTTCAAAACACTATAATTAAGAGAACTAAGAAAGAACATGGGCAATAGGAGTCGAGCGCAGAAAAACGTTGCGCAAATAATACACCCATAAAGCGTAAAACTTCTTTATTCTACTACGCGCGTAGCATTTCCGCTTCCAGTGTGCAGGAGTCATAAGTCTAATTCTAAGAACTCGACGTTATTTGTTCGTGCAAACTACGTGTTTGTGGATTACTATTTTGTAAGTACAGGTTGCAAAACTTTCGTATCAAGCAAATGTTGTCACGACTTGACAGCTTGAGACGCCATGTTACACTAAGAAATGGTAAAAAATATATCAATTTCGAATTTTTTGACCATTTTCGGCATAAATTCCACCTCACAAACACGTATTAATGCTTATACTTTAATCCTGGAAAAAGATTTTTGAATCTGTTTAAGAGAAAAAAAGTATTTGTTATATAAAAATTATATGATTTAATCGGTAATATAGGCGGCTTAAGGGGATCCTAAAGCAAAGCTCGAACTCCAACGAAGTCACAGAGGTCAATGTTTTTCGAGCGTATCGACATATCTTTATGTGTACTACAGTAGCGCAATTCTCTTAATTTTAGGAGCACGTAGAATCATAATTTTGCCTTATTTATTGTTGTGTATCTTGATAATAAACGGATAAAAGTGGGCCGACTAAAGTTAAAAGTATATTAAATCCGTAAAAGATTCATATTTTAGTTTTCTTGATATAATGTGGAAATTTGGAGAATTATCAAACAGCAGTGAGCGTAATGTCAGAAAAACTACAGTCACGCATTTTAATTGGGTGTATCCACACACATATCTGAAAGTTTTTAATTTTTTTTCGTTTCCATTCGAATACTTATTCTAATCAACGAGCAGAAATAAAAATTTGCAAAACTTAACATTAATGAAAACTATAAATTTGAATATTTTATTTTTCGAATGAGTAACATTTTTGTGTACATTTCTGATTTTAGAATACAATGGATCCCACAATAATTAACCAATTCTAATATAATTTTGACAGTGGGATCCTAAAGTCATGCTGTTTTACCGATTATTTTTCAAATAAGTATTTTTCTAACTGCCTTTACAGAATTAAAAATCCTACTCCACAATTAAAATATAAGCGATAATGTAGTCCAAACCAGTTGACTTCGTACGAAAAACGAAAAAAAGTTAAAAAATTACAGTTTTTTTATAAGCTTCTGGCGTCGACTCGTAATTATATTTGCTTTATATAAAAATTTTGTACTTTGTATCTACAAAATTAGCTCGGTTTGGACCAGGGATTACATGAACAACCAATGTTGAGTACTTAGAATTAGGTTTAAATACTTAATATGAAAGATTAGTTTTAGGAAAAAATGTTTTATATATAATTATATAAAAATATATATAATTGTATATAAATGGACATTTTATATATAATTGTATATAATTATACGTATTTATATATAATTATATACGAAAAGATAAAGAGCATACACTACGAACGCAAGATATTTTGAGCAATTAGTTTATATTTGATTCCAAAACATATAATCGAAATACAAAAATATTATATAGACGTTTCGGTTTTAAATTAGGCCATCTTTAGTATATAAGAATTTCATAAAAATTTTTTTTACACGCAAACGTACAACTAATCTAAGTTTATTCCTCTCCTAACATGTTTAATTATTACGCAAGAACGCTCGTTAACTAAAATTGTTTTTCCTTTTTCTTTATAATGATGTTAGTCCAAAGAGTTTCGAATAATATCCAAAGAAATTCGTCTTTTATTACAATTTTCAATGTTTAAAATTCGTGTTTTGAGTTATAAATTATAAAAATTAGTACCTGTGTGTTCCAGTCAACTTATGAGGATTAATATCGAAAGTGGATGATTTGTTGTAACAAAGAACTCGTAAAGAAACGTTCTGCTGAACTTTCATCATGATATATAACTTTAAATATCCAATATGTATCGAAGGAGAGGGTAAAATGGTATTATGTAGGAGGAGTTATGCTAAGCAATGGAAAATATGTCTCTGGTAATTTTTCCGTATCACTCTGCTTATTCAGATCATCAATTTGATTTTTAATAAAAATCATTTCCGACGTAATTCTTTTTTGAAAAAACGATTCTATATCTAATACCTGAATATTATCCCAATTTATTTTGTGATCACATTCGATCTGATACTGTGATAATACAGTGAGAGAATTTTTTGATTCTTTTATATTAGCTTTATGTTCTTTGATTCTCATTTTTGCTTTCCTTTTGGTTTGACATAAGAAGAGTTGCAATCAAGACAACTTATTTTGTATACCACATTGTTTCATTTTTTCTAATTTATCCTTACCTAATTTTATGAAACGATTCAAAGTATTCATAGGTTTATATGCTACTTTAAAATTTTTTTTCCGCTATAGTATTAAATTTGTCAGAGATTGTATTCAAATATGGTATTGTAAAATATTTTTTTCTATTGTGGACTCATTATTGTTGATAATATTATTTTCATATAAACTCTTTCTACTCGATAATTTTTTAATTCTATTATTAATTATAGAAAAGCTTATGTCAAGAAGATAATCATTAATTAGCAGAATGTTTATCATGGATTCAATGTTTTTTTTGTGTTATTCAGGATGTGAGAGAAAAAGAATTTTATCATATATAATATAAACTAATCGCTAAGAATATCTTGCGTTCAGTCCAAAGTTTATATACAATTATATACAGGGTGCTTGAAAAGTAATGAAAAATTTTTCCCATAGGGACATAATGGAATAACTAAGAAGAAAAATCCTCTATCATTTTACAATTTTCGCAATAGTTAGTAAAAGATATTAATTACAAATATTCTTTCAAGGCTCAACAGATTAAATCGGACAATACTCTCACAAGCCTTTATGAGCCAACACTAGATTTTAATGTGAAAGATAGAAAATAGTACAATACACACATAGACCTTTGGTTGAGGTCCTTTTCAATACATTTACACCTCCACCAAATATCCCTATCTCAAATATAGTAATGTCCTATTGCATCCTAGTCGTCAAATTGGTAAATTTGAAGATTGACAGAAATGCATGCTTATTCATTATTTGAGCCATATTAATAATTTATTTTATTGTATATAAATTATTTTAATTGCGTCCATTTGTCGTTAATTGATCTAAAAAAACTCTCCATCGCAAGATAACTCTCTATCACTTTTATTATTCAATTTTACTTGCTGGATATGGCATAGCATTCCATAAAGGATGACTTCCATCACCCTTTTTCATCACAATGATCTTCACGAGTTCCTGCGACGGTTCTTTAAGATCATACGCCCACCCGATTTTTGCAAAAAAATTGATAAAGTCTGTAGTTGTAGAATTGCGTAATTCGGAAGTCTTATAGTCCCATGGAAAGACATGATGATAATTGTGCGATCCTTCACCGACCGCAAAAAAGTTGACCCATTGATTCTCCGTCGGATTTATGTGCCTGCCATTAAAATAATGAAACAAAATTATTCTTAGGTGATACAAAATGGCGAAAGCTTTAGATTTCTTTTATTAAATGTATGTAAATAATATTGATATTAATTATCTGCTTACTCATCATACGGTCTTGAGCCCCAAATATGAGCCACACTGTTGACACTCCATATGCAATTTAAAAGAAGAACGTAACGAAGAATAATCTGCGACACGAAAGCTCTATACCAAGTTTCATTCCATCCATACACAGGTAACATTATCGGAAGCAGGAAAGCGAACATAAATTTTAAGATCAAGAAGTATCTAAAAATAGCATAAATAAATTAAGACATATAATTTTTATTATATTACAGTATTATATGTATTGTGTAAAAAAATTTCCATAAAAAAACTTTCTAAAATTGAGAAGGAAATTCTAAAATTGAAAAAGAAATTGGAATAATAAATACACTTTTGAAATGAATCGAGTAAATACAATGTGTAAATAAAGTAGAGTGTTATGAAAAAGCCTGTTTTTGCTGTATCCACGCCATTTGTGGAAAGTACAATCGACATCATTCCTTATAACTTTTGGACGAGGAATCCGATGATGCTAGTTAAAATTACGTCACATAACAAGAACATATAAAAAATTGTGTACAAAGGAAAATGCGAGGCGTTGCAGTGATGTTTGTGTATAAGCTCTCAAAAATGTTCTGTTCCCTGGTGATAATTTTTCTCATAATTTTTATACGAATTGGAACATTTTTCAGAAATACTCAGAAATATTCGGAAAATTTACATCTACTCTCAGAATTTTTCATACATGTGAAGTCTGAAATTTTTTGAGATTTCTCATCCCATAATTTTTAAAATATATTTTTAAATTTTTTAGATTTTATAACATTTCATCAGAAATTATACTTATAAAAAATGTTAGATAGAGAAATCTATTTCATAATTAACTTATGGAAAACTCTGAGAAAAGATGTAGATTTTCTGAAAAGTGTTCCAATTTGTATAAAAGATGTAAGAAAATGTTATCAAAATTATATAGAAACTCTGAAAAATTATATGAAAAATTCTGAGAAAAATTTTCACCAGGGTTGCGCCTAATATTTTTGTTACTAAATATAATATTTAATCCTTAGTACGATGATTACGTTATACAATGATTTTCCGGTCCTTTACTATATATGATAGGTTATTCGTGTCCTTGAATAACTTTCATCACATTAATAAATATATAAAATTATTAAGTGATTCTACATATATTTTAATATCTTTAGAGAGTATTTGTAAGATTGTGTACTTAAAAAAATTGTTATAAATATTAATGTTATAACTGATTATTTGAGGCTCTTATAGTTACTCGAAGAAAAAAAATGTGTAAGTCTCAAATGGCAGCGACATCACGCGTTTTTTAGACTTTGAACTCAACTTCTTATGTGTCTTTCTCATGTGTGACATAATTTTAACTAATAGTATCGAATTCCTCGCCTTAAAAACTGTAAAAAATGATGTCAATTTTATTTCATATAAACACTACAAGCACTGAAAAATTGGCCTTTTTGTAACATCCTTCTTTTCTTTTATCTTCTTCGGGGTAAAACCACTTCGCATAATTAATTCTTCGCACAAACTTACTTGATACTGAATGCAGCAATAGGATCAGCCAATATATCACTCATACCGACCTGACGACCCTTTCGAATCACATCTGGATGTTTCTTCATCATCAACCAACCCACATGGGAGAAAAAGAATCCTCGATTACTGTTATGTGGATCCGCATCCGTATCCGTATATTTGTGATGCAATCGATGATCTCGCACCCATTCGAAAATGTCATTCTAAAAGATATGATTATAAAGAAAAATTCTTCCGCAAATTCTTGCAACGCATAAAACGTAATTATAAACGTTCATCTACCATGCCTGCTGAAACATAGAAAACAACAAGTATGATTCTAAGCTGCCATTTTGCCTTATAAGCTTTGTGGGTCCATAAACGATGAGAACCAGCAGTAACGCCCAGTCCTCCTATTAAAATCATGCCATACACTTGAAACAAAAAAGGTCAGCGCAATTAAAACATTAGAAATACTTTAAAATTATGAATAATAATTCGTATTTCTTAAGAGCACTGTGTAAGTAACACTGATTTTACTGATTTGACAATTCAAGATGATTTATGACACAATCGATATTGTACAACAGAAATGAGATATTTTAAACAGCAATTTACTGATTTACTGTCAAGCTTCTATTGCGTGCTCTCTTCAATCACGGAAGTCTAATCAATTGGCTTTCAATTAGCTGTCGTTGATGTAAGAAATTGTTAAAAACGACTGTGGCGTTTTTGATAAACGTACAATATAATTTTAATTAAATCGTTAGTAGATTAAATTTTGCTTTTCATTAAATATTTTTTTAGAAAGTCAAAGAACTAAATTAACAAAAGAATTTTACAAAGAATACTTACTCCAAGCGGTCGTCTTCAGATTTTCGAAAAATTTAAAAGTACAAAAAGCATATACGAAGCATAAGTGGAGAAGACTAATAGTTACGATATTGATCCATTTCAGCTCCGTCTTGAACCAGCCTTTAGTTTTTATATAACTCTCGCTTCTAATTTGCGTGTCATTTTCATCATCTATCGTCTTTCCAATAATCGAAGATTCCTCTTTTTGAAAATCTTTCTCCGTAAGTATTTTTAAATCTGTGCTTAAAATATTTGGCGCCATCTTTATTTTCGGATTACTGGACCAAGAATTCACAAAATCTGCTTCACGCTATTAACAATTAAATAGCAGGTTGTAATCTTTGGTTTTCAAATTAATAATTGATTAAATTACGATTAAATCCATTGTTTATACAAAATAAAAAATTATACATTGTAATTCTAGTTAATAAAACATAAATAATATTCAAAATAATTTGTTCTTCAATATTCGTAATTTTTTAAAAAATGTATTCTATCTCTTGAAACTGCCCAAACGATGATATGTTCGTACTTACAATATAATTAATATTTTTAACGAATTAGTTATTGTAGCAATTATCCATAAATTACGAATCGAGCAATTATTGTTACTTATTGAAATAATTAATTGTAAAATACCACACATTCGCAAGTAGAATTCTAATTTAAAAAGAGAGAAAAGGCTTAAATACTTATGTCTTTTTTAAAACATTTATACAATTCGTATTCGCGAGAAATATTTATATTTATGTAACAATTTGCACATTTTAGATAAACACACACGGATTTTACAAGAAAATTGTATCTATTTATAGAATATTATTATCTAATTTGCAATAAAGGCAAAGCACTCATACCGTTTATCCGACTTTAATTGGTAGTTCTTAATTATATATTCGAATCATGGCGACTGAATTGTTTTTTCAGATTGCAATCCTATGCATTTTTATAAATTGCACTGTCAGCACATTGCTCCATTTAAAACACTTGAATGCGCATTTGTGCTAATTAATTCAAGTAATTATATGAGTATACAATGACCTAATATGCTTTTATTATTAGCATTTTAACAATATTGTATTGTCATATTAATAATAATACGAAAAATATTTATTTCTGTAATTATTGTAAACATGAAAAGTCAAGATTAGTTTCACATATAAGAAGAACAATTTGGTTTTTTAATTATTTTATACCGTAATTTATGAGCTTAAGTTGATAGAGCAATGAGGCAAAATTGCTGCATATAGAGAATTTTTATTTTAAAATAGTATATATATATATTTATAAATATTATTTTTAAATATAGTATACATTTATACTATATTATACATTTGACTTCTTTTTAAAATTTATATTTTATGTGTAATATTGCAAATGAAAATAATATCTTCCTGGTACTGCATATTAATAATTGATACAATCAGAATCAGAAATTTCAAGAATTATTTAATGCAAATTTAGAATGACTTTTCAAAATTTAAATTTCGTACGATAGTTTAGTCATCTATTGCTTCCTAAAAATATGAATAAAACAATGAAAGTGAACGCAGCATTTGTGCAAATATATACACTGAGAAAAAATTATTAACTTAACTAAATGCGTTTATACTAGATTATTTAATTGAAGTACTTGTATATTTAAATTAAATAATTTGTTTGAATTAACAAATTTTTGACAGCCTATTTAATGCTTTGCCTTTATTACGAATTAGATAACAACTATTACAAATAGATAAAATGACCGCTGCATTTAGTTGAATTAATTAATTAATATCTTTTTAAAACAGCAATCTTTTTTCAAATATATATATATATATATGATATATACACAAGGTGATTCAGATTCTACTCACCATCTGCTAATGGTGTGATACGTCGAGTCTGAAACATTCTGTATATGACTTGTCTTTAAAATTTAAATGTCACGTTGGAAATAGAAATATTTTTTTACATATTTTTTACATATTTTCTCGAATATCGTACAATAGTAATCAATATTATCCAATTGACAATTCAAAGAATTGTTAAATACAAATTTAAATCACTTATCATTACTTAGTGAACTATTGATCTCGAATATAATGAATGGAAATGCCACATATTAGTCACGCTACTAACTCTTTTTATATAAATCTTACATGTAGAACAGAATTTTTTATATGTTTTTATAAATTTTTTATATGTTTTTATAAATATAACTTCTATTGCTGTACAAAATAATGAAATGATATAAGAACTGATTTTCCAAGATATAATTATCAAAAAATTATTGCGATTATTGTTACAAAATTGAAATTTTCTTTTATTAATAAAAAAGGACAATATTTACAGAATCTTTTAATTTATCCTATATAACATATCTTTTAATAGATCAAGATTTGTTTAATATTTGAATTTTTGACATAATAAAACTTGATCCATTAAAAAAATTGTGTACAATAAAGATAAAATATTCTACAAGTCTTTCTTTTCTTTTTAATATATACTTTAATATTCTTATTTTGGCTATTCTTCTTTTCCTGTGGGACCACTGTTAATGGCGAATGGACGGCTAATTGAAGTAACTTATTTATTCAGGTACGAGAGCTTATCTATTCCTATTTATCGTCGAAGATTACGAATTGATATGGCTTTCCAAAAGAAATTTATTCTCAGTATGTAATCGGTCACATAACAGTACAATACATGAATCGTGTATTAAAGATCACTATAAAAAACTATTTACAAAAGTATAGTTAAAAAGAAAAGGTAATATTAACGTTATGGAATAATTTGTAAAAGAATTGATAGGATTCCCAAATTTAAAAAACAGTAATTAGAAAGAAAAGGACTAGTAAGTGTCAAACGCAGTTCTCGCGATAAGTAAAATAAAATGATTGACACAATTAAAAATAACGTTTTGGTTTAATTTTGAGCCATCTTCAACAGTTTTATAATAATATTCTTCAAATGACAAGAACGATTCTAGATCTCCAAATTGAATAATAGCGTTTTCGAATGGAGTGGGTTTGAATCTAACCTGACAAGTCGGATCGATGACGTCACATGTTATACTTTAATTTCTGATTGGAAGAAATTATGATACTTTCGAGTCAAACATGGATTAACCGAACCGGGTCGGGTTCAAACCCACTCCACTCGAAAACGCCATATATATCACAACCGATTGGTAAGCCGATTGATAGAACAATTCATTTCACACTTCCAGCTGAATTTCCAAAAAATAAAAAAGCAATATTAATAAAAATTATATTTATTTAAATTTATATACATACAACAAAATAAAATTACATAACTTTATAAATTTACGAAAACAGTAGTATTAAATTATAAATTCATTTTTTATTAGTTTTTTACAGTGCAAGACAATATTATAGTGCACAGAAGTCAAAAGAATCAAATTAATAAATAATTAAATAATTAAAAATTATAATAAAAGATTAATATATAAAAAGTTAAGAATTAAATTGCAGAAGCATCGCGCAGAAAGTTTTAATAAAATTAAAAATCGAATTTTTTACATTTTCTCAATTCATCACACTCCTTAATAAAGGGATAAACGTTTATATAAAAAAAGTGAAAATATTCGGAAAAATGTTTCTATTACACTAAAAAGTAATTTTACAAAAGAAAGACGGATATATGAACATGTATGGACATATTTCATATAAAATTATATATGTTATGAATATTTATGTACGTTTATACATATTTATACATATTTATGCACGAAAAATTTTTTACTGGGAATAAAATAGAACATCGTCTTGAAGTTAAAATTAGTATATAAAATTGTTTACATAGTCAACGGTTAAAAACTGTCTAAAGATTTGTCGTTCGGAATCGAGTTTTATAGAAACTCTGAAATTCTCTCTAGCTATTTTTTTTCCATCGACATAGCTATTAACGTCAAGATTTCTTATTCCTCTCTCGCCGTCAAAGATTCATTATGTTGTCGACGTTTGTACGCCGACGTGGCAGTCGAACAATGAATTAAGAATTTGACAAGCCTTAACAAGAGCTGGCATTTCACGATTCAGCTATATGCTTACATTCTTGTGAAATCGCTTGTTATCAGTAGTAAATTAACTAGCAATACAGTTCTGTCAAAATCGTCTTTCGATATATTGTAACATTGAGGCAATAACAACGAATCGTGAATCATCATTTTCATACTTATCAAAACCAATACGACAAAGAACGACCTTTCAATTTCTCGATCATAAAATAATATCACTATCAACGTTTTCAGATTTATGTAATGTTGCCAATTACACGCAGAATCAAAGTTGATGTTGGAAAAGCAAAATTGTTGCTGGTGATGTTAATGGCGATTCACGTTGTCGCCGAACCTTGCATTTTCACATCGCCGTTGACACTACAATTGTTACTGGAATATGCGGAATGGCGATCTTGGGACCAAGTTGTGGTCTTCGATAATATCAGCCCATTTAGTAAGTGTTTTCAATTTATTAGTTAAATTGAAAGGAAGAAGAAAAATTTCTTGCAAATTTCCTGCACAGCACATTACATTACAAATTATTAAATATGTATCTATGTTGTTTACATTACGTTTCATATCAAATGTATTAAACACGTAATTAAAGCAATCGATGTAGAATATTCAAGTTGAAATACGTATGTAATATGTAGCAGGTCTATCATGCATATCCAAATTGAAATACGTATATGTAATATGCAGTAAGTATATTGTGAATATTTAAATTTATGTACATACAGATTGTCTCACAATTCGTGACCGAAATTTTAATAACATATTCCTGATTTAAAAATAAGATAAAAATCCTAATATCAAAATGTTATAATAGTTTTTAAATTAATTCATTATACATATTTAAAATAATTCGCGTTAACATATTTATTATTTTTAATGTCCTGTAATATTTTTATGTTATGTACGTTCGATATATAATTATTTTCTATGTTTAAATATAATTACCCGGGAAAAATGTTTCTAAAATGCTGTGCGGGTTACTATCGAATTTATTTCTAGCTAACGTAAAGCGAATTTATAATAGCTTATTTTATCTTGTAAATTAATATATCTTATAATTTTGCTAACATACACATAATAAAAAGAAAGTTTTAACTCGATAAATTAATTCATAAAAGAGCTATTTTTAAATAAAATGTATACAAAAAAAGTACTTTGACAAAATTCCCGTTACATTAAAAAATAATTTATAAAAGGTGCACTGGAATTACAAACTTTAATCGAACATCGAGACAATAACAGTAATTTACTAAAATGAATGCAGGTTGTGCTCTTAATTA